TACACAAGTATTCTACACAATAAACATTATATATATATATACATGTGTGTGTGTGTGTGCGTGTGTGTGTGTGTGTTTGTGTGTGTGTGTACACACACACAGAGAGAGAGAGAGAGAGAGAGAGAGAGAGAGTTATTCAAAATGATTTTATTACACAATATTTTAATAAGGAAAAACAAAAGAACACTCCTACACAAGTATTCTACACAATCAACATTATATATATATACATGTGTGTGTGTGTGTACACAGAGAGAGAGAGAGAGAGAGAGAGAGAGAGAGTTATTCAAAATGATTTTATTACACAATATTTTCAAAAATGACTCCTTTTAGTATTACACAATCAACAATATATTATACATGTGTGTGTGTGTAAGAGAGAGAAAAAGAGAAAAAGAATTCAAAATGATTTTATTACACAATATTTTAATAAGGAAAAACAAAAGAACACTCCTACACAAGTATTCTACACAATCAACATTTATTTCCTGTCTTACAAGTGTTTAATGTGGCCACAACCTGCAGCACGGGCAACATCAATGGAATAAGAGAATTCCTTCCCGACGCGTATTAGCATATCCCGTTCCATTGAGTTGTTTGGTATTGTTATTCGATGTTTAATGTCATCGAGGTCAGTGGTTAGCAGTGGAACATGAACGCAATTTTTTACGTATCCCCACAAGAAAAAATCACACACGTTGAGGTGTGTGTGGGGGTTTCTTGCGGGCTAAGCAGAAAGAGAAAGGTCTTGGGCCACCTTCCGACCAATCCATCGCTGAGTCACCTCTTAACACAGGCCAGATAATGGATTGAAAGATCGTAAGCTCACGGCGAGATCGATTTCGGAACATCCGGGCACTCCCTTCAAACGCGGTACGGATTCTCGCCACTTGTTCCTTCGGAACCGTGTGGTCGTCCTGTACTTTTTACATTACACAGACACCCACTCTCGGGAAACTGTTTAAACCACCGTCGAATGTTCTTGGGAGAGAGCGGGTTAATGTCGAATTGACTTCGAAAAGCACGCTGCACCGACACAAGAGAATTTGTTTTCGCGTACTCGAGAACGAAGAGAACTCCTTTTACTGAGGGCTCGCCATTCCGAGGGCAAACAAACAACTGAACGTTACCGGAGATACGACGCGACTACAAAGCCTTTGTGGTAGCCATTCAAAACTTAGGAAACGCCCTTTTCAAATGGTCACTGACTCATTCCATGACGATGCTTGAGAACTGAAGCAATGCGTCATGAAATCCGTTCTTTGTTTTGAATATATATATATATATATATATATATATATATATATATATATATATATATATATAATTATTTATTTAAAATATGATTCCAAATCACGACATCTAATTAAAACAGAGGAATTAATTAGATGTCGCGATTTGGAATCATATTTTTAAATAAATAATTATATTTATGCTCTACTTTTGTCTCGAGCACTATTTTAAAAAAATAATAACTAAAACACTAAGGGACTTTGGATTATTTGCCTAACCAGTTCCTTCCTATTTTCTATATATTTTCACACACACACACACACACACACACACACACACACACACACACATATATATATATATATATATATATATATATGCACATTTCGTTGAATAAGACATTCAAGGTGCTTTTATTTATTTTTTTATACAATTTCTCATTTTTTTCTTTTCGGATGATAAATTATATAAAATCTGTCTGAATGTTCTTTTTACCCGAGCGCTTTCGGCTATACATTTAGCCATTTTCAAGGATTAAATATTTTAACTGTCAAATAAGAAATAGCTGTTTGTATGTATGTTTTATAAAATGTTTTCATCTTTTTCAAAACACAGTCAACATATTGTGTCCATGTTCAAAGTTAATATTAAGTGTTGTTTTTTTTTTGTTTTTATTAATAAGGCTTCTATTATTTTTATCATTTTTTGCATGTAGATGATGCTATTATATTAGTGTTGTCAACAAGTATGTTACTAATAGTGTCCGGTAGGTCTCCATGAATATTTAAATGAGATTTATTTGAGCTATGGTCAGAAAGGTGTATAGTGAGTCTGCGTGTCAAACATGTTGCAGTGTGGCCTATATAATTATTTACGAATTTTGATTTATCAGCAATACAATTCCTTAATGGGGATTTAAATTCGTAAATAATATTTGCCTAATTTAATTTTGTTCCAAGAAGTGAATTATTATTTTTAACTATAAGTTTAGAGGTTTTAAATTTTTTGTAATAAATAATTAAGCTAATTTTTTTGCTATTGTCAACTGGTGTTATACATTTTTTTTTATAATGTTCTTAAATCTGCTTTCATCCTGTTTATAATTTTCGGACAGTTTTTATATAATTTATCATCCGAAAACAACAAAAAAATATTAGATCTTATGAGAAATTGTATAAAAAACTAAATAAATGCACCTTGTCTGTCGTATTCAATGAAATGTGCATGAAAGCAGGATTGCTGCCTAAATACACAAATATATATATATATATATATATATATATATATGGGGGGGTGAGCGTGAGTCTGATTTTCGTCGTTTCAGGCACAGCCAAAGAAATATTTGGTATTTTCAGTATTAAATGAACACTTTCTTTTTCATGATAGTATATCCAGACCAATCAATTCAATTTCATCTTCATGATATTTATCGGAACGTTCTTTTGTTTCTTCGATACAGGAAGTTATACTGTCTCAAACTTAAACTTAAGAGGTAAACTGTTAAGACAAGGGAAACATTGTGATGTGAGAATATACCATAATATGGAATTATGAGTGAAAATTAATGTCATATTTTTCATTTGTTTTTCTCTTCGTAAATTTTACTATTGGGTAAAATTATCTCCCTTGGTTTACCTAGATACTGATCCTGAAAATTGTCTTTCGGACAAGTTATTCCTCCAATCATCATTCAATAAATACTTTTCAGAATCTGTATCGGGCATAACGATGTTGGTGTATCTCTGTTATACCCCTAAAATAGTGCATGGCATACATATAGCCTATTCAGCCATCTCTACGTGAAGGAGACTTCTGATGACGTTGAAAAATGTTACATCCATAAACACTTATTGCACTGCCTCGAGATATGCGTCCGTCTGTCGGAGTTAACTCTTCCTTAATTGTCCAAATTGTTCACTAGGGGACGCTCTACCTACACTATAAATACTGGGTGATTTCTTGCCTCGTGCTCTTTTCCATTTCTTCATTTTCAGCGAACACATCTACAATGTAAGATCTCGCAGAAGATTGCGTCTTCCCACTTGTGGGAGACGCCCTGAACATTATACACACATGCACGTACGTACGAACATTCACCAAAATACAAAGCTCTTTACGTTCACACACAAACACAAATATTAATATCTATGTACATTGTAAATTTTGTTGTTTAATACATATACTTGTGGTATATACATATCGGTTTTCTTTACACTTTTTTTATGGTGGATTCAATCTCTGAGACCGCCATGTTCTTGTTGTAGATCTTCTTCTAGCAGGAATAAACGCACGTGTTCCTAATTTGAGAACGCGTAGACACACGGTCCGCTACACGTCTTTCGCGCGTGCGTAACTCAAACAGCCAGATAAGCGCCTTATAGCATTCAAAACACTGGAGACAACGGCCTGTTCATCAGCGGGTTTATTGAAAGTCAACTGACGAAACGTTGCTTGCCACTCGCAACCCTATAGCTATTTCAATGGCAAAGGTTCAGACGAGCTACATTACTCAGTTCCACCAGTTCGGATCTTTAGAGCTAGGGCCCGTCATGGCAGGTACACGGCGCCAACCCACCCGCATTCTCTTTGTATTCGTTAAATAGAAAATTCCATTCGGTCAACTTCTCCATAATTTTCACTTTTCAAGACAGGCTCCTTTGAGAATGCTTCCTCGGCAAGGCAATATTCACCCTCAAATAAAAAAAAAAATCTTAAAATCTAAAATATATTTCTGATATAACGAAGGGTTGATAACTTGTAAAAAACAAATAATTCCTCATACCAGTGGGATGTGCGGGTGGTATAATGGATAGCGGCTAGAAAGCCGAGTTCGAATTCCAGTCGGGTGCATTATATTCGCTTACGCACAAATACTTCAAGTAAAGGTAATAATTTATCTCCTTACCCCAGCTATGGGTTAAATAGTAGAACTTGTATCAGGGAAATTCATTGCTTTTCTCAAAATTGTTAATGCAATATTAACTCCACAAAAAAGGATTATTCCTACTTTTCAAAATATATTTTTCCTTTACATAAATCACAAAGGGTTGTTAAACCGTAAAAAATAAATACATGCTCATACAAGTCGGATGAGTTGGAGAGGCAATGGATAGCGACCGGAAAGCTGTGTTTGAATTCCAGTTGGATGCATTATATACTTTTGCACGTAAATACACTTACTAAAGGTATGAATCCATCTACTTTCCCCAGTTAAGGATTAAATAGTAGGAGTTGTATCTGGAAAAAAAAATCATTGCTATCCTCAAAAAATTGTTAACGGAAAAAGTATTCTTACAATTCCAAATAAGTTTCGTTTTTGACTAACACGCAAAGGGTCGATAAAGAATGGATCAATCAATCCAGCTAGAGAAAAATTCTCTTTATTTAAGCAAGTTCACGTTCGATAAACATTGACATAATCCTGGCTGTATGATAAGTCGTTAACACTATACTTTAAAAGCAAGCGTAAATCTAATAGATAGCGAGGTACAAAGAGCTGTCCAATGTAGCGTCTCGTGGCTTTAACCTCACCTATATCCAATGCACTGGACAATATCGTTAAGAAGGCAAGCCGCGTACTTTGGAAACTTTGTAAAATATCTGTGCCTTTTCTTTGGCTATTTCAGAGATCAGTAGGCGTTGTGTGAGGTCATCTGGTACAGTGATGCAAGCGCATTGGCCGTTATGCACCTGAGACTGTTTGCTTCTCGATGAGAACGGTTTGCGTCGATGCTTCTTGGTCGAACTTACCGATAAAGCCGACCATTCTAAGCTGGAAGGAATTTAAGCTGGTCAGAATAAGAGAGAAAGGAGATTGGCCTGAAGCGATTTATGGAAGAGTCAGTCGAAGACTCTACTGATGCCAGCGGTGACATTTTTTTTTTTTTTTTTTTGGTCGGAGATGATGTTTGACCATGTAGCTTTGATAAAGAAATAATAACAATCGCGGGCGGGGGGAGAGGAAGAAAGACAGTGAGAGAGAGAGAAAGAGAGAGGGTGAGGGAGAGAGAGAAAGAGAGGGTGAGGGGGAGAGAAAGAAAGAAAGAGAGGAAGAAATACAGTGAGAGAGAGAAAAAGAGAGACAGAGATAGAGAGAAACAGAGGGAGAAAAAGAGAGACAGAGAGAGAAAGGCAGAGCGAGAAAGAGAGAGAGAGAGAGGGTGAGGGAGAGAGAAAGAGAGGGTGAGGGAGAGAGAAGAAAGAAAGAGAGGAAGAAATACAGTGAGAGAGAGAAAAAGAGAGACAGAGATAGAGAGACACAGAGGGAGAAAAAGAGAGACAGAGAGAGAAAGGCAGAGCGAGAAATAGAGAGAGAGAGAGAGAGAGAGGGATTGAGACACGGAGAGAAAGATAGAGAAAGAGTGAGAGGGAGAGAGACAGAGAGAGAAAGAGAGAGTGGAATGGAGAAAGAAAGAAAGAAAGAAAGAAAGAGAGACAGAAAGAGAGAAAGAAAGAGTGTGAGAGAGAAAGATATATAGAGAGTTTAAGAAAGAAAGAAAGAAAGAAAGAAAGAAAGAAAGAAAGAAAGAAAGAAAGAAAGAAAAAAAGGCGGCAGAGAGAGAAAGACAGACAGGAAGAAAGAGAGAGAGAGAGAGACAAAAAGACGGAGAGGGAGAAAGAGACAAAAAGAGAGGGAGAAAGAGAGAGTGGGGAGAGAAAGAAAGAGGGAGAAAAAAGAGTGAATGAGAGAGAGAGAAAAATGAAAGAGAGTGAGGGAGAAAAAGAGTAAAAGAGTGAAAGAGGGAGAGAGAGAGAGAGGAAGAAAGACAGTAAGAGACAGAAAGAGGGACAGAGACAGAGAGAGAAAGAAAGAGGAAGAGAGACACAGAGAGAAAGATAGAAAAAGAGTGAGGGGGAGAGAGAAAGAGAGAGTGGGATGGAGAAAGAAAGAAAGAAAGAAAGAGAGAAAGAAAGAGTGTGAGAGAGAAAGAGATATAGAGAAAGAGAGAGGTGATAAAAGAAAGAAAGAAAGAAAGAAAGAAAGAAAGAAAGAAAGAAAGAAAGAAAGGCAGGCAGCAGAGAGAGAGAAAGACAGACAGGAAGAAAGAGAGAGAGAGACAAAAAGCCAGAGAGGGAGAAAGAGAGAAAAAGAGTGAAAGAATGAAAGAGAGAGAGAGAAAGAAAAGAGAGAGAGAGAGAGAGAGAGAGAGATGAGCAAAGTGAAAATCTGCGACGCTACTGAAATAATATTTTACTGTTGTATTAAAACAAAGATATGTATCAAGAAAACTTTTGCGAGATAAAAACAAAGAATTAAAAAAAAGCAACAATGAATAAAACATGTGTGTGGAGACATGATCGTTTGGAACCGGCGGTAAAATGAATGCGAGTTCACAGAAAATGAAGACGTTTCCAGAAATATGGAATTTAATCAAATCGTTTACATTTTTAACATGAATCTCTTCAGAATCCGTCTTGCATATTTCTACCATTCCTCCGAATACTGAATTCTCTTGCTTTACATCCTGAGATTCTTGACAAAATCTCACCCCCTCCCCAAAAGGGTCTGCAATGTAATCGAAGGAGGCACGGTGGAGTAATGAATAGCGACTCGGAAATGGAATTTAAGTTCGGCTCTCCGATTTGAGGAATCGGAGAGCCGAGTTCGAATTCTAGTCGAATCCATTACATTCAATAAACGTTGGGATACAATCCTCTTCTCCCCCCCCCAGCTATGGGTAAAATAGCAGAACAGACAAAACTCTGTAGCCTTGGATGGCAACTGGTCTACGGCAGAAAGAAATGGCAAACTACTGCGGGAAAATAAATCTGCCTCGTCAGTCATGTATCGAAAGATACATAATCGCTTAAGCGTGTATCACTCCTGGCATATAACTGACTGTTGGATAGATAGATAGATATGTAGTTCCCTGTGAAAGTATTGGAATGGCAAAGCCAATTCCTTTGTTTCTGTTGTTGGCTGAAGACATTTGAATTTAAGATGAATATGAAACAAGAGTTCAAGAAATTCAGTTTTTAATTCCTGCTAATAATATTTACTCTTAGATGTCTTACAGAACTTAGAATACATTATGAAATGGACAAAGTCCGACAATTATTTTAAGACATTTTTTATGTTTATACATTCTTTTTTATAGATACAAATATTTATGTAAATACTCTGTTAATAATAAATAGTATTAAACAACATTTACCGGCCTGAATGTCCGAGAAAATTTTCATAGGTTAGTAAGGTCGATTTTACCGTTTTTAAACACAATTCTTCATGATTTTCTCTCAAATGTCTTAAAATAATTGTCGGACTTTGTCCATTTCCTAATGCATGACGTCATTTGTTTACATTTCGATACGCATTGAGCAGATATGAATGTACGAGAGAAAATCATGGATAATTGTTTAAAAACAGGAAAATCGACCTTGCTAACCGAACGCACCTCTGTGGTACAATCGGTTAAGGTACGTCAGGTTATACAACAGGTTCCGTATAGGATACAGGTTCGATTCCTGTCGGGGGACGCATATTTTCTATTAAAATTTCTCGGACATTCAGGCCGGTAAATGTTGTTAATACTGTTTATTATAAACAGAACAATTACTTAAATATCTATAAAAAGAATGTATAAACATAAAATGTCCTTATATATATATATATATATACACGCATACAGGGCGATTGAAAAGAAGTAACACCGTATTTTATGTATGGATGGCCATCCATTTTTATAGATACAAATATTTAAGTAAATGCTCTATTTATAATAAACAGTATTAACAACATTTACCGGCCTGAATGTCCGAGAAATTGTCAATAGAAAATATGCGGAATCGAACCTGTATCCGATGCGGAACCGTCAGATAGCCTGACGTGCTTTTACTCATTTCGCCACAGAGGTTAGCAAGGTCGATTTTACTGCTTTAAAACTACAATTTTCCATGATTATCTCACGTACATTCATATCTGCTCGATGCGTATCTAAATGTAAACAAATGACGTCACACATTATGAAATGGACAAAGTCCGACAATTATTTTTAAAGACATTTCTTTATGTTTATACGTTATTTTTATAGTATTTTTTTCCGTATAGGATACAGGTTTGATTCTTGTCGGAGGTCGCATATTTTCTATGAAAACTTCTCAGATATTCAGACCAGTAAATGTTGTTAATACTGTTTATTATTAAACAGAGCATTTACTTAAATATTTCTATCTATAAAAAGAACGTATAAACATAAAAAATGTCTTATATAACTTAGAATATAACACCTTTTCTATAAGATCTCCTTCCCCCATTTTGAGTCGAGTAAAAGTAAAGGAACAGATAGTCTTAAAATAAATAACATTTAATATTTGTGAATGTTTATATTTCTGGCATGACGTATTGTAATTACTCCAATTATTTACATTGTGTAGATTGTTGTCTTCACAATTTTCTCGCCGACAGGATGTGGCTTCCCACTGTCTTTTTTACAAATAGAAGCTGCTCAGGTGGGCTTTCCTTTCCTTAGCACCCCATGTTCCCATATCTCTCTTATCCTCAATCTAGCAGACCGCTGAGTATTAAGTTTTCAAAGCCCTCTTTCCTCGTTATGACATCAAGGAATTCCAGCTATCATTTGCTGATTTTGAGTAGAAGTGTTCTTTCTGTTGCCATTTTCTTTAAGATTCCTTTATTGCTTACTCGTCCATAGAATTCTCAGTAGCATTCTTTAGAATCACTTTTGTGTTGCCTCTTGTTTTTTTGTTCTTCATCCGTTGGCAGATTGTCCAAAATTCACTGCCATATAAGATGATGGATATCACATAGAAATACAACAGTCTTCTATTTGTTTCTAACGAAACTTTTTCGTTTCTCAGCACCCTGATTAGCTTTTGGGTGGCTTCTTTCGATAATCCAATCTCTGTGTGACATTTTACATCCACTTTTAAAAAACGCTTCTCAGATATTTAAACAACTACACCAGTTTGAGATCTTGAGATCTCCAATTTGTAACTCGTATCTTGGCTTTTTTCTCTTGCTGATGGCCATATTTTCTATCTTCTTGTAGTTGAAGGTTAGTCCTTTTTTTTTTCTCTCTCGCTTTCATCTACGAACCTGTGTAGGAAGTCATGTAATTTGTATTCCGAGTCGGTCATCAGCAGAGTAGCATATGAGTATCATATATGGTTAAGATTTGGGAATATCTTACTTATTATAAAACGCAGATTGTGTGTGTTTGTGTCTGGACGTTTATATATTGGATCGGATTTCCTACATTTATCAACCGATTTCAACAAAACTTCACAGGACTGCGTAAAATTACCTTGCGGTGGTTCTGACAGCGCCAAAAATTGGAAAAAATTGTTTTTGCACGAAATCAATTTGAAAACACGATTAAGAGGGATTAATGAAAGGGGGACAACTCATATCGAGTTATACTTATTATAAAACCCAGGTTGGTTGTGTGTGTGTGTGTGTTCGTTTATATATGGGATCGGATTTCCTACATTTTTCAACCGATTTCAACAAAACTTCACAGGACTACGTAAAATGTCCTTGCAGTGGTTCTAACAGCGCCAAAAATTGGAAAAGCAATTGCTTTTGCACGAAATCAATTTGAAAACACGATTAAGAGGCATCACGAGAATGAAAGGGGGACAACTCATATCGAGTAGAACTTATTATAAAACCCAGGTTGTTTGTGTGTGTGCGTGTGCGTGTGTGTGTGTGTGTGTGTGTGTGTGTGTGTGTGTGTGTGTGTGTGTGTGTGTGTGTGTGTGTTCGTTTATATATGGGATCGGATTTCCTACATTTTTCAACCGATTTCAACAAAACTTCACTTTTTTTTATTTTGGCAGGTAGTGTTTTTTATTGTCTTGCACACTTTTTTCTTTATTTTTAAATACAGAATGCTTTAAAAAGTCCATTTACAAGACAATTGTTTATACTAAAATTCTATTCAATCGGTAAATCCATAACGATTGAAAACAATGTTTTTGTTTGAGTTTGGGTTTGACCAATTCGTAAAAGAAATAAAAAAATAAAAATAAAAAAAATAATTAAGACATGCGTGTCGGTCAACCTTAAAAAATAATCTTTGTCAATTTTATTTTTCAGTCTTTATGATGGTCGATACTTGATCTATCTCTCACTGTTACATCCCCGGGCAACGCCGGACTCTACTGCTAGTATTAGATATTATTGTCTTAATAAAGAAACATTCTCAGTCGTTTGGAGAAAGAAATATTAATATTCAAAGTCTTTCAAACGATGCCAATTACAAATTGGAAATGTCAACCTCAAGTACAGAAGGTTAAATATCTGGGAATTATTTTAACAGAAGATGGAAACTATGACACCGAAATCCGAACACACATTGGATTACTGAAAATCGTATTTCAAAAGATGCCAATTACAAATTGAAAATCTCAACATCAAATACAGAAGGTTAAATATCTGGGAGAATGGAAAATATGACAAGAAGAGAATACATGGCATTACTGAAATGAAATAATTCTAACATTTTACCTCTAAAAAATTGAACACGATCAATTGATTTTCTGTTAGCTAAAGCAATTAAAAAACAAATGGAATGGAGATATATAAGTTATGTGGAATCTGAACGCTTGAAATTAGACGATAATTTACGAGTGACATTATAGATTTGCTATTCAGAGAAAATGCTTAAAGGTACACAATGTCTTTCAGGTCTTTCAACAAGAAAATACACGAAAAGACTGATGGTGTCAGTAATGCAATTTTTTTTTTTTAAGTGGCGAGCTTTGGTAACGATGTTTGATGCAGCTGCTGCGATAAATATATAACGTCTGGGATAAAAACGAAATAATTAATTATAATATTTCACTGCTGTCGAAAAAAAAATGAAAGGCGTTGATCAAGGAAATCTTTCATAGGTTAAAACCAAGAATAAAAACTAAATGAACTGAAAGATAAAGGGTGTAATGAAAAAAATGTCGCCATGTATTTTTTAATTTCGCGCATGCGCGTTTTTTTATTTTTTTATTTAGTCAACTGCACAGTATGGTAGGGTCATTTGGGCACCCTCTGTTAGAAAAGGAGTAACATGAGGCAATTCACCCTGTCAGAAACTTTGAAAATGCATGCTGTATTGCTTGGCATTCGCACCGGAAGCTCAAATAAAAACATTTCAGAACGTTTTCGTGTCACAGTTAAGATGATCCGGAAAGAGTCTAATAGTGTTTACGCAGATGTTTAGATTGATAACTAGTGATAGTGACGTTATGCCTATATTTATCTTCCAACAGGGCCCCAGACTCAACACGGAGACCTACATCAAGTGCCTTGAGGAGGTAGTGTCCT